GTTTTCAAAGGCCTGCTACGTCTGTCAGGCACCCTGTCAGGCAGACCCACAGGGACCAGTGTCACCTAACCCAGCAATATGCTTTCCTGGCCATTCCAGAAATGCTGAGATGCAGAGGTGAGCTCCTAGAGGGGTACAAACGAAGCTGGTGACAGGAGTCATCCTTAACTTGCAGGGCAACCAAAGGCAATTTCCTTTAAGAGATCTTGAATATCATTTCTAAATAAATGTAAGTAAAAAGATCCTTTTAGGAAAAAAACAGCAAAGTATCATTGATGTTGCAATTAAAGAATGAGAAGTACCCAATTAACACGCACAGGACAGGAGTGCCCTGATACAGCAGAGTGATTTAAATGGCCAGAAGGAAGCATGCAATTAAAACAACCAGCAATGTGCTCTCACTTCTAAAACAATTCACTCACAGAACATGAAGTGGTAAATGCTGTCTGAGCACTCAGGGTGCTTAGTCAGGGCACTTCAGGAGCACTCATCACCTCACCTTTTACAAGCTCACTCATACCATGCGGGTGCCCAAACGGCTCTGGGTGGGACATCTCAGTGTGGATTATCAGAGATAAATCTATGAAAAACAGGAGGTCATCAACTTTAAGAACACATCTTATTTAGACTAAATGCCACAGCAAGGTATTCATCAACAGATTTTATTTCTAACTTCTAATAAAAGCCCTATGTCAGCCAGGCGTGGGGCTGCAAACTTTTAATACCAGCGCTGGGGTGGCAGTCAGGTGGATCAGAGTTTAAAGATCTGCCTGATCTACATACTGAGTTCCAAGCCTCAAAACGAGACTTAATTAGCTTTTATAATGTAGCTTATTGAAAGAGAGAATATGTAATTCCTTTAGCTATCACCGTCCCAGGTGCAGTGCTACTGTTTTATTAATTTGCATGTATGAGTACACACATGTGAGCATCAGCCATGGCACACAGGTAGAGGTCAGAGGACAACCTGGGGGCGTTGCTTCTCTCCTTCCACCATGCCCATGAGGTCCAGGGTTTGAACTCCAACGGTCGGGTTTGATGGCAGGGACCCCACACTCACTAAGGTATCTCACCCACCCAGGTATCTTAGTTGTATCATTTGCTTTAATTTTCCTAGCATCTCATGGTTCAGGGAGGCCAAGCAACTCACCATAATCACAAAGCTAGTGGTAAAACCAGATTCAAACCCCACTGTTTATAAAACACTACATATGCTATGACTGATTCCGATTAACTAGGGGGCAGGTAAAAACCAACCTACAGGGCTGTGAGTGACATCTGCAATGATGTCACCCTGTAGGGGTGAGCACAGGAGCCTCATGGAGCAGCTGAAATTCCCATTTCTTCATAAACAGGAGCTCACACTCACCACTGTGTCATTAACAAAAAGAAAAACCTCAGGCAATTGACTCCAAGTTCCTGTTCCTAACTAACCAAACCACCTTTTCACAGCTCAGAGAGCCTACATTCTTAAAACCGATTACCTTGGTTAGTAAGGATTTTTTTTGTTTGTTTGTTTAAAAAAAAAAAAAAGTGAAGAACCTAAATAAACCTAGTTTAAAATGTCACAGAATGAAAAGTGGAAAGTATCAATTTCCTGACTACTGGGAATTTCCCCTCAGAATTAAAAAACAAAAAACAAAAAGAAAAAAACTGAAGGGAATGTCTATAGAGAAACAGAAAACCATTTGTAATAATTTATTACATTTACATAAAATGTAGACACCTGAAAGTGCATAAATGTTAAAATATGCATCTATTTAATCAGATACAATGCTGGCTGTCAAAAACACTGGGTCTTGTTACAACATGAAGCCATGCCAAGCAAACAAAGCTGGCAGCAAAAGAAAGAAACTCAAAAGAGGGGCAGCATACAGTTGGGACTCAGGGGGAGCAACTGTTTCCAGTAGTAACCGCACCAGGATGCCCAGGGACAAGTCCTCCATCAAACCGTAAATGGTTCTCAGGCTTTGTTCAGACTGGCAAAGCTTCTCTACAGCAGATGATGATGAAATCATTACATCAATTCTCAAAAAGCCTCGCCCCACACATGCACACGCCTCTTATCCAAACAGTAATTGCCTCTCCAGAGAGGCATATATTCATCCTACCATTTTAATATAGCCATCAAACACCCACTCCAGAAGGGGAGAAGGCAGCTGGAACTACCTGGGGTAGTGCAGGGTGAGCTGGGCTGGGGTTATCTCCTTCACTGGGTGATTTCTTTAATTAGGAAATATTTACCGCTTTGGATAGAGTTCAGCCTCACTCTATTCATTCTTTCACCTCACACACCAAAAAATGCCAGACAACTGATCACAATGATTTTTGACCCCAGAGCAATTACAGAAGACAAAAGACTGCTATGATAATTTATGAGTTTTGGTAATTTATATATCACTATTTGGGTGTTATAACAGGTTGTATTACCAAATACTAGCCTGGTTGCAAAATCTCACATTTATGAACTATACTTATTAAGTTTTGAAGTATGAACAGACTATCCAATAAAGCTGTTTTAAAATGCCCAAAGAGTCAAATATTACGCTCATTAAACGAGTTAGGACAAATTAACAGCACCCACCCAACGTGAAGACAGGTCTGATAGAGATCTGAAATTATGGATTATTGTTTGTTGAGATAAGAGTCCTCTATGTAGCCCTGGCTCTCCTAGAACTTAAAAATCTGCTTGCCAGCTGCCTCCCAAGTGCTGGGATTAAAGATATAGGCCCCACACCTGACCTTAAATTGTGGTTTAAAAACGTAACAGTAGCCGTTTCAAAGTTTGAGAAACAAAGACTCATCCTTTCTCTCCATCATTTGAAAAAAGCCCTACAAATTTCTAATACAGAGTATCCCAACTTTTAAACCAACCAGCATTATTTTAAGATGAGCAATATTTGGATCTTGTCTCCTAATACAACCCTTAAGCATATGCACATATTTGAACAAACAGTATAGTTAGTGGAAACAACAGTAAATTATCCATTTCCCCTTCCCCATTTTTAGCATAACTGTTAGTATATTAGAATTTGGGAAATCTAAAAAGAAATTTAAAAAAAATTTTAAAAATTTATTTTTTTGGTTTTTCGAGACAAGGTCTGTATAGCCCAGGCTGGCCTGGAACTCAGGGACTCGATAGCCTCTGCCTGAGTGCTAGGATCAGAGGCATGTACCACCATGTCCAGCTTTGAATGATATGTTCAAAGCTGTAAGTCATTTCTATGCCCAGGCCTTCAAAAGCACGTGGGCTGGGTGAAAGCAATTCATAAGCAAATTATGTTTGTTTTTCTCAAAGACTACCTCATTCCTTAGGTCTTAAAAACCGGCTATCTCATCTGTCAAGCTTGGGTGATTTCAGGCTAGACATATCTGAACCGTTCCAACAACAGATCACTGTTTTTGGCAAGCGGAAGTTGAACCAGCGCGAACTTCGTTGTGATCTCTTTAAGTACTTAAAGCATCCTATTTGTGTTCAAAAACAATCTTACAAAGCAAGTATCCCGTTCCGAAACTAAGTAGGGGAACCAAGGCTCATACAGAAAAACTAACTAGTCTTTTAACAGCACGTGGCAGAGAAACGAGACTGGAGAAGGGACTCGGTCAAGTTTAACGGGGAATTCGGCAGTTTATTGTATTTGCCATCTGCACAAAACACTAAATTAAGAGCGGCAGGCAGAGTCCCGAGGGAGAAAGCAGTATTCCACGCTGGGAAAGAAGTTCCGAGCAGATAAAAAAAGACCACCGCGCCGGAAAGGGCGGAAATTACTCCGGCAAGTTCTACAGGGCTCCAGCACACTTCTTTGGTCTTAAAACCTAATCAAATATGAAGAGCTCTCGGACTGGGCGTAAAAAATTCCACCAGTTTCATAATCTTTATTAGAAAAACAGAAGTCGGACTAGGTCAGGTGGGAAGTCACCGGGGGTCCTCGGGCAGGTCCCTCTCGGAGCGAGGTCTGAACCCCACTGGAGCGCGCTCTGGGCTGGGTCCTGGTCCCAATCGCCTAGTTCCACTCAAGATCCAGTGGCCTCCTCATGAACCATCCGCCCCCCCGACACACACACACACACAACACTCCCCCAAATACACGCAAAACCCCTGAAAGAATCTGTTATAACAGGAAGCCCATTTTCACCCACTGGCTTCGAAACCTGAAAAGCACGGCTTGCGGGGGATTGGGGGGGGGGGGGTGCGTGGCAGAAGAACAGGTTTAATCGTTCCCATTAGTCTACCAAGTTGGGACCGTCGAGGCGACCACCTCAGGGAGGGGAGCCAAGACCAGCCACCCTGCAGCCAGCCCAGGTTACAAAATGTGTGCAATACTTTCCAAGATGACCTCGCACACCGTGACACGAAAGAGTCGTCTCCACCGAGCTTCCTCTCCACCCAAGACCCCGGAGCTCAGAGGACCCCGGGCGAGTGCAATTAACCAGGAGCTGGGTGTCACGTCCCCCCGAAGGGTCCCCGCCCCGCAGGCGCGCCCACCTGCCAGTCGCAGGGCCAGCTCCTGAGTCCTCAGTCTGGTTAATCATTCAACGCGGGCGGCGTGGAATATTTTTTTTTTTTTTAGAGGTCAAAGCCAAAGGTTCTCCCGAAGTTTCACAGAAACTAGTCTTTGGGGACCCGGAGGTAACAGTGCCAGCGGCTGGGTGGCGGGGGAAGTGTGGAGAGCGGCCGCCAGCGGCTCACAAACACCTGATCTGCCCCTGCGGCACCCGAGACCGGCGCACTGCGCGCGCGGGCGGGCGGGGCAGCACACCGCACGCGACGCTCCCCCACCGCCCAGGCCCGCACCTCCCGGCCCGCGCGGGGTGCAGCGCGGCCCCGGGGTCACTGCCCTCTCCCTGCGGGGGCAGGGGGCGAGCAGGTGAGATGGTCGGGGAGGAGGTGAGGAGGCAGTGAAGGAGGGGAGACGGACCGGGAGGTGAGGAGGCCGGGGAAGTGAGGAGCCTGGGGGAGGTGAGGAGAACCCGAAGGCGCGGAGGCGCCGCCACCACAGAAGCCACAGAGGAGCGGCGGGAGCGCACGGTGCCCGCACCGGCCGGAACTGGCAAGCGGCGGCGGCGGCGGCGGCGGCGGCGGGGCGGGGACGCAGGGCCCGTGCCCACCCAGCCCGCCCTACCTTGTCCAGGGGCAGCTCCAGCTCGGCGGGGCGGGGCGGGAGACCGCGGCCGCATCCACGTCCCAGCCGCGCCTGCGGCTCAGCCCCGCGACCGCCGCCGCTCCTGCTCCATGCGCAAGGCGCGGACGGGCGGCCCGGCGGGGTCGGGGCGGCTCCGGCTCGCCTCAGCTCCAGCACTTGTTGCCGCCGCTGCCGCTGCTGCCGCCGCCGCCGCCGCCGCTGCGCCTCACTCCCCGCCGCGGCGCCCGGCACCGCCACCACCTACAGCGTCCCTTCGGCCCCGCCCCCGGCCAGCGCACCAATCAGACGCCGCGCTACCCGCGCGCGTCACCGCCGGGACGGCCGCGTTCCCGCCCCTTGGCCCAAGTTTGGGAAAGGCCGAACTCCTACCCTCCCGCCAGTCGGCGCCCGGTCCCCGCGGGGCTCTCCGCCTCTCGGTGCACCTAGAAAACCCTAGGCGCCACGGGGGAGCCGCATCTCCAGAGACGCGCTCCCCCGCCCCAAGATGTAGTCTGCCCCAGAAAAACAGCAGCGACAGCGTCTCCAACTCAGGGTCTAGTCCAAACCCCTCCGCTACCGGGGCCTCTCTGTGCCGTCGGCGAGGCGCTCGGTGAGAGTTTTGATGGCCTTTTCCGGCCAGGGCCGGCGTGTGGCTAGGCCTAGACGGCTCCGTGTGGTTGGTGAGAGGGTTCCACCTTGGGAGGTGAGGAGAGGGAAAGCTGGACCTCAGTGGACCTGACCTTTGCTCTCAGCGCACCCGGTACCTGCAGTCACCTAGCTGCTCAAAGCCTAAGGATGGTGCCTGTTCGGCGCCTTCGGATCAAAAACATGGGTTTTCCACGTGGTTCCACTCGTGCGTCAGAAAGCCAGGAATGTAAGGGGCGGGGGGCGGGGGGGGGGCGCCAGCACCGTGACGCCAAGAGCTGGGTGCAGCCTGCCATCTCAACGCTGACACCCCGCCCCCCGTAACGCTACTGGGGTGGGCACTAGCCACACCCACGCGCAGAGCGCACTGCACCCACGATGCTCGCCCCTGACCCAGCGCCTCCGCAGGCTCCCCAAAGCGCTGCACGCCTAGGTGAGGCCCCTGGGAAGCCGGCGGGACCGGATGGTGAAGTTGCTCTAGTTTACAAGGCTCGGGTGGGCCTGCCTGGCCGGTACGCCCAGCGCACCGAGTCCCGCCCCGCCCCGCCCCGCTCGGGGGCCCTCCTGGAAGCTCCCCTTCCGTCCTTCTCGCCGAGGCCTTAGAACGACCCTCTGGAGTTAATCCCGCTGAGAAATTAACACTCCGCACCTGTTTGATTTTTTGCAGCGGGCTGTCAGGCGGCGTTAGCCAAAGGGAAGCCATTGAATTTCGAGCGCTGGGGGTTGGATTTCAGCCCGCTGGACCACCGAGCGCGTACTCTCAGCGAAACGCAGCAGCCTAAAGCAGTGCGTGTTGTTTTGGATGCGTCGAGCCACGTGAATGGAGTCACCAAAAAGAAGGGATTCTGAGTCGGTGGCTCCGGAAATGTTAAGATTGGCAGTCTCCAGACCAAACTGTTTTTATGTTGGTCAGGATTCTCTGAAGAGCGACGTGAAGTCCAGGCAACAAGTTGAATTTTTATCTCCTCACACAAACTGTTAACCGCTGTCACCCGGGGCAAGAAAGGAAGGGAAATTGTATACCTTCCCGGGGTTTGAGCGGTCCCCCCCCACACACACACAGATTTTATTCATAATTCAGAAAGCTAATAAAACATTTTAAAAGAAGTAAATTAGAAGTTAGGTCTGTGTATTTGATTAGCTGAAGGCCGCTGTGTTGATATTTAAATACTGTGAGGAGACAAAGCTGGATTATTTCCCACCATCAGATGTTACTGTTTTCCCTTAAATGTGCTTTCAGTAGCCACAGACATGCTTTCAAGGATTGCTAGCCAAAGAGTTTTGAGTAAAGTCAGCTGGCAGGCATCAGGGAAATAAAGCTTGTGTCTTCCACAGCTGCCAAAAGCTGCCGGGCCCTAAAGTTTAAAAAGAAATGGAAAGCATTCTCTCCATGGTACCATTGAGTACAGCTGAAGTGTGCCGTCCTCCGTCCACAGTGTGACTTTGGGGAAATAACTTAGTGCTGGAGTCCACGCCCACTTTCCTGGGGTTCAATATCCATAGGCAGAGATAGACACTCAACAAATATGCTGCCCAACATAGGTGCAAGCACAGGGCACGTACCAGGGCATTAAACATGACGCTTTCTCCTGGAGCTCACAGCCCCCCTGGAGAGGTGCTTAATAATTCAATGTACTAAAACTATTTAATTACAATTTTGATATGGACCAAAGGAAGTGTAAGCACAGAATCATTTGGGGAGTCCAAGTAAAGTGTCTTTAAGTGGGTTTGTTTTTGTTTGGTTTTGCTATGATAAAACACCATGACCAAAAGCAGCTTGAGAAGAAAGAGTTGATTTGACTTACAATTCAACATCAAGGGAAACTGAGGCAGGAACTGATACAGGTGGAGGAACCCTGCTTGGTCCCCGTGGCTTGCTCAGTCTGCTTTTTTACACCACCTAAGATTGCCTGCCTGGGGTGACACCACCCCAGATGGGGTGGGCCCTTTCATATCAGGCGTCAGTCATGTACTAGAGACTTACTTACAGGCCATCTGGTGAAGGCATTTCTCAATTGAGGTTCCTCTTCTGAGATTGTTGTTCTTGCTCTTTTGGGGGCCCACCACTCAGCTCCCAAGTAAATCACACACAGAGGCTTATTCTTATATATAAATGCCCGGCCTTAGCTTGGCTTGTTTTTTGCCAGCTTTCCTTAACTTTAAATTATCCCATCTACCTTTTGCCTCTGGGCTTTTACCTTTTCTTACTTCTTTCTATACTTACTTTCACTCTTACTCTGTGGCTGGGTGGCTGGGTGGCTGGCCCCTGCTGTCCTTCTCTCCTTGTTCTCTTGCTCCTTCTTCTTTCTCCCAGATTTCTCCTTCTATATATTCTCTCTGCCTACCAGCCCTGCCTATCCTTCTCCTGCCTTGCTATTGGCCAGTTCTTTTAGACCATCAGGTGTTTTGCACAGGCACAGTAACACAGCTTCACAGAGTTAAACAAATACAGCATAAAAGAATGCAACACATCTTTGCATCATTAAAACAAATGTTACACAGCCTTGAAAAATGCAACACATCTCTGTGAGTTTGAGGCCAGCCTGGTCTACAGAGTGACATCCAGGAAAGGCTCCAAAGCTACACTGAGAAACCCTGTCTGGGGGGGAAAAAAAACCTCTCCTGGTCAGAGAAGAATTATAGATTCACAATAAGAGAGATTCAGATGGAATAAAACTCTAAACTGTTTACAATGTATGTAAAAATGTACTTAGGCTTGAAAGAGAGAGAAAAGGAATATATGCAGTTATATATATTTTAAAAATAAAGTCTTTAAAGAGATAGTAAAGTAATATTAAAGTTAAGTCATGCAAAAATGAAGATTACACAGAGTCTGAATTGTGCTGTCTTTGGGATTTTAACTGAAGAGACATTTGATTGTAAAGGCTGCTGAGTTAAACCAATATATGTATTTTAAAGGTATCTTGACTTCAAATTTTGGGTCTAAGGATATAGATATATTGCTTTGGAAAGGAGGCTCTGATTTTGTTTCCATAGGAAGCAAGAGGCTATGGATTTGTTCCAGGTTAAGATGGATCAGATTTAATCAGTCGAGACCTCCTGAACTTTAACAGAGGGTACCTATCAATAAAGATTTTGGCCAGTCTTTCCAGGACTTGATCATTATCTCAAATTTTCTCAAGATCCCCATAAGATTAACAGCGGCCCCAACCATCAGGGAGTAATATGAGAAGCTATGCCCCAATTCCCAAAATATTGTTTATAAATGTTTATTTTTATTTAAAGGGGGTTGATTATAAATGCAACCTCTTTCTAAAGAAAGGGGGATATTATAGATATGATAGGATGAAAGGGTAGATTATTGAATCTACTTTCAAAGAGCAACAACTTGTTTAAAATGTTTTACATTACTATGCATTATGATTTATTGATGCAAATTTAAAGTTGATTTTGTTATACTGTATATATTTCTACTCCTGTTTGGGGTATTATGTTTGTGCAGCTCATTTGAAATTGTAATGTATAGTTAAGAAATACAAATTAATAGTCAAATTTATAGCCATGTTAAGTTTTTTAGGTATACAAAGATATATTTCAATTAGGAAGGTAATCTTCAAACACTTCAAAAACCTACAGAATATGGCATTTAAAATGTTTTAAGAACTTAGACTTTCTGGACAATGAGACACATCTGCTCCTGGCAGCACCAATTTACTTCAAATAGGATGATGGGCATCAAAAAACTCTATATGGAGTTTGCTTTCCTTATGGCAAAGGTTAGCCATTTGGGCAAGAAACTGTTCTTGCCTGGACTGCTTGACAAAATGTTGTATCAACTGGACATGCAGGACCCATGGAAAAATGACCACTAAATTTTGCCAAAACAAGTCGAGATGGTCCTTCAGGTTCCTGCTTCATAGAGGAGACTTCCAGACATTCTGCAGGACACAGGGAGAAATGACTGTGAGACTCTAGACCTATGGGCTGAAGATGGATGCCCCCAACATTTCAGAGGAACTTTAGGTGATTGTCCAGGCAGCGAGCTGTCTCTGTCATTCTAAATTTTTGGAAGTTGCTTACAATGCACTTCCTGTTTACTTAGGTAATAGTGTACCCTTCTGGGGTCTTTGATGTAGTTGAAGACTAAATAGTTACAATTTTCTTTGGTTATGATAAAAGATAAATTAGACATGAAACTTTAGATGCACAAATATAGAATAGATGATAAAGTATTTTCTTTAATTTTGCCAAATACAAATAGACTAGATATTGTAACTGTAATTCTTGCTTGATAACTGTTTGTTATATGTAATTTTACTATGTTAAAGTTATATTTTTTTGATTAGATAGAAAAGAGGAAGTGCTGGGGGATAACTTTCTGTATGCTGTGAATATATGTTGTTCCCATTGGTTGATAAATAAAGCTGCTTTGGCCTATGGCAAGGCAGCTTAGAGGCGGGCAAGAAATCCAAGCAGATATATAGAGAGAAGAGAGAGACACCAGCCACCACCAATAGAAGAAGAAGCCAGCAGACTGGTAATGCCACGGCCACATGGCAACTTATAGATTAACAGAAATGGGTTAAGTTATAATAGCTAGCTAGCAAGAAGCCTGCCATAGGCCATACAGTTAGTAATTAGTATAAGCCTCTGAATGATTATCCCACCACAGGGCCAGGTGGGACCAGAGAAACCTTCCAGCTACAGTGAAGCAGGAAATTTGAAGAACTGTCCTGCCTTGTGTTGGCAAAGTTCATCAGTTGCTTTTCTCTATGTCCTACAGAATATATAGCAGACTTCTGTGAAGTAGGAATTTTGAAGAACTGTCTTGCCTTGTTTGGCAAAGTTCAACAGTCTTTTTCCTGTGGGTCCTGCATGTCCAGTCTGCACAGCACACTGTCAGCAGTCAAAGGCAAGAGCAGTTTCTTTGCCCAGTGGCTAACCTTGCCACAATGAAAGCAAACCCCGTAAGGAGTTTCTTCACTGCCCATCATTCTTTTATGAAATAAATTGGTGCTGCCAGGAGCAGATGGGTCTCATTGTCATGAAAAACCTTAGGTTAACAAAACATTTAAATGCCATATTCTGTACGTCTTTGAAGTGTTTGAAAACCATTTATCTATCTAAAATATATCTGTTTAACCTAGAAAACATACCTAATGTGACTACAAGTTTGATTATTATAGATTAACTACTAATCTCATTTCTTATTTAAGAATTGCATTTTTAAATGAACTGCATAAACACAATACCCCAAACAAGAGTAGAAATGTATATATATACAGTGTAACAAAATTAACTTTAAATTTGTATCAATTTACCAAAATCCATGCCAATGCAAAATACCTGAGATTAATAGTTGTCTTTTTATCCTATATTCCTATATTCCCCTAAATATAACAAACATCCATGACCAACAAATTAACTAAAAGCCTCTCACACCCCTTTTGGAAATGTGGGTGTTGTGTTCTCCAAAGTGCTTCCTGTTGTCTGTGGATAAAGTATCTTTAAGGTCCCTGAGAAAATTTAAGATAATAATGGCCAAATCCTGGGCAGACCATCTATAACCTTTGTGTGGGGGCCCAAATTACTCAGGGTCAGAGAATCTGAGCTTGCTTTACCCAGCAGGGCTACAGAAGGAGATGATTTGATCTTAGGCATGTTTATCAGGTGTTTGGAAGAATCTAAACTTGGCTGTGTGGTGTGCTTTGATCTTGCAAGGGGGAGGTCTTTTGCCTCTCCCCTTGGCATTGTTATAAAAAGCCCTTTTGAATAAAGTTCTGGGCTGTTGGGTATTGATCCAGGCCCTCCCGAAGCTATCCTGTGTCTCTGTCTTTCTTCTCACCATCTAGGTCTCTCTTTCTACCTAATATTTCCTCATTCCTCTCCTCTCCACCCAAGAACTCTTCAAAAGGTGGGAGCAGGTCGGAGCTGGTCTCCCACAGACTCCCACACCTTTGTTGATAGATATCACCTGTCAAGGTTCAGGAGGTCTCCCTTGATCAAACTTGATCCATATTAATGTGGAACGAATTCACAGCCTCTTATTTCCCGTGGAAACAAAAGCAAAGCCTCTTCTCCAAAGCATTTTTACTTCCATTTGACAAATACATTTTTTACTTCCATTTTAAAGTTAAGGCATTCCTAAAATATCTAGGCTGGATATTTCATCAGTCCCTCTTTCTTTCTTTCTTTTTTTTTTTTTTTTTTTTTTTTTTTTTTTTTTTTTTGAGACAGGGTTTCTCTGTGTAGTTTCAGTTCCTGTCCTGTAGACCAGGCTGGCCTCGAACTCACAGAGATCCGTCTGGCTCTGCCCCCTGAGTGCTGGGATTAAAGGCATGCACTGCTATCACCACCACCACCCAGCTCATCAGTCCCTCTTTCAATCCCATGTCTCTCAGCAGCTGTTGTTTGCTCATCAACATTAAAAAAAAATTCAAAATCAACATAATAATACACAAGAGCCAGATTCCCTGTGTATTTCCCATCTCTATGTGGCTTATTTTTTATTACTTTACTTCTCTCTTTAAAGACTTTATTTTTAAACTATTCATTTTTTTCTATGACTATACCCTTTTTCTTTTCTTAAGCCTATGTACATTGTCAAACACACTGTAGCCTGTTTAGAGGTTTGTTTTTTTTTTCCTGTCTGGAACTCTTTTACTGCCTGTCTTTTAGCCCTTTTGACCATGTAAGAAAACCTTTAAACTCTAACCTTCACCTGGATCCTCCACGTGGCTCTCAGCTGGCTCTGTCTGCTTCTCTGTTCTGGAAAGCCAAACCTAGAGCTTGCACCCAGTGGGAGGTTTGTGACCGAGAACTCTCCTAGCTGTAGGAAGCTGGTATCTGCACTGTCTCTGCACGGTTTTTCTTATCTTGCCATTTCTACTTAGTGCTGCTGACTAAACAGCAGCGCCTCTTAAAGGAGCCACGTCCTTTTGCTTTTCCTCCTTTTCTCTTTTTCTTTTTTTAGCTTTCTCAGGACCTACATGGAAGTTCAGCCCACATTGGTACGCCAAAATGTTGTTGGTTGTTTTTGCTCTTTTGGGGGCGCCTGCCCCCAGATACTCTAGCTTGTATCAAGTTTACAAATAAACAAAAACAACCAGAACAAGAAGTTTCTAGCTCTAAGGGGGAAGCCGTAGAAATAAGCGGAGTTTGGATTTTATTCAATGAGACATTTGAGGTAGAAATTATATTCTAAAATTGGCACTAAACGTAAGTTATTCTTTGCCATGTGAAGGGGGCAGAGCACAGCCAGGAGGGTGTTGGTGTAGACAGCAGTAGAGAACGGATACCATCACACAGGCTTAGGTCACTGCTTAGAAGGGGAGGGGTCGGGGAACACTCCTAAGTGGTGCTGCTTTAGCCTGATGGAAGGCCAAGGTTCTAGCTGGGCAGGGCAGGTGTGGGGTGCCTGTGAGATGTCCTGTTGAGCAGGTTGTGCGCTGGAGTAGCTGGTGTTGCTGTAGCAATGAAGTTCATAAGGTAGACTAAAAGAATGTAGAGTTCGATCAGGAGGGGGCCAGAGGCTTCCCCCTGACGTCTCTTAACTAAGGCATGGACAGAGTGAGCTAGCTCACTGTGGGGAAGGAAGAGCAATAATGAGGCAGGGGGAAAGGTAGGAGCTTGGGGAGGTGCATTCACAGTCAGTAGAGACTGTTTTAACAGAAGTTAACAGCTCTTAAAATGGCAGAGAAACTCAAGCAAGATGAAGAGTGATGTGTTTAGTGGCTTTAATGTTGGGACTTTTGCAGGTCATAGCTGGTGGAGAAAAGAATGACCTAAGGAGTAAATGAGATGAAGAAAAGCACTAATGGAAGGGGAAGAGATAATGTAATTATATTTTAATTTTTAAAAAATTGAAAAAAAACACACACACACAAATAAGAGCACTTACCCCCAAAATATAAGTAAGTTTTTTTTTTTTTTGAGACAGGTACTGAGAGTAGGCAACTCTAAAAAAGTTTGACTGTGAAAAGTTAGAAGTAGCCAGAGGCCCAGAGAGATGGCTCAGCTGTTAAAGAACATGTGTTGCTCTTGTGGAGGACCCAGGGTCAATTCCCAGCATCCACATGGTGGTTCACAATTATCCCTAACTCCAGTTCCAGAATATCCAACACCCTCTTCCGACCTCCACAGATACCAGGCACACACGTGGTACACAGACATACATTCAAGCAAAACACTCAAACTAAGTAAATCTTAAAAAAAAAAAAAATGCTTGTCCTTGTTTATAAGATAACATAGATTGATAGTTTGTAAGTGCACACGGGAGGAGCCCACAGAGAAGAGGAAGGTAGAGCAAGGAAAAGACGATGTAAAGGTCTGTACGGAAGGCAAAGGTCTGTACCCAAGGCTGAAGGTGGAGCCAGGGTTTCGGAGGCAAGGCTGAGCTCATGTGAGGAAGAAAGAGGCTTGGTGTAGAACCTTTACACCTAGTGACAGGGAGGCTAGAGACAAGGACTGATGTGAGGCTTGAAGAGTGGGGAAAAGTTCTCAGAAGGTTTGGAAGGGTTGGAGTGATCAGACAAACAGCAAGACAAGCATGTCAGCATGACAATCCATTTGAGGCTGGTGGCTGCAGCCCTTCTTTGGGGTTTCCTCCAACAGCTCCGCGGCCCGCTGTGGTCCAGGCTCAGGTGAGGGAACTATTAGAAGAGAAGAGCAAAGGAGCAGAGAGCCCGGTCCAAGTGATGCATGAGCAGAGAGAGGGGACAAGAGACCATCTGCTCCAGTCACTTAAGAAAAGGAGGTTGGGTCTGAGATCTGGATGCTCAGAGGTGAACTTTGGAGCCATGGGTAAGCCTGAGCGTGGTGGGGGAGAGTAGAGGTGAACACCCTAAGAGTAGTAATATCAAGGCCAAGGGATTAAGTGGCAAGGTTAATGGATGGGCCATTGCTGTGAGTGAAGCCATCCAGGATGTGGGCAGGAATTGGGAATGCAGCATTGTGAAGACACTGGGCCAGGAGCTAAAGTCCTAAGAGAGTAAGGGGCCGGGAGATCAGAAGGTGGGGAGCACCAGAAAAGGGAAGGGAATATGGCCGGATGTCAGTCTTCTCAAAGGAGTATGTGAGGGGGCAGAGATAGAAGGAAGGTTCATCCCTGCCTCTGGGCCCCTGGAGAACACAGGTGAGAGTCAGCAGCCTCACCTCACAGCCCCTCAGGGAGAGCAAAGCAGGAATTGAATTCTGAGCAGCAGCTGCTGTTGGGGGATGGGTCACAGACTTGGACAGAGGTGAAGCAGCCTTCGGTTCACTCTGCTCGCTGGAGTCTGCAGTTTCCCCGGACCTTGTGGAAAAGGAGCGTTTGCGCTCAGCTTCTCAGGAGTAGGCTAAGTCAGCTGCAGGAAGAGCAGAGCGCTTAATGGTGTGCTGGAGTGAGAATCAAACCTAAGGAACGAAGACGGGAAGAATGAGAGGCACAGTGGAGTCTGCCTCGATTGTTTCTTTCTGAATCTGCAAACCAGGGCCATGTCCCCATTGCTTCCTTTCCATCCCAGGATTTCCATCAGGGCAAGGTATCCAAGCCTCCAGCCTCCTCCAAATAAGCCCCTGCAGGCCCTCTGCAGCTCTGAATCTCAGATACTAAGCTTGCCCAACTCTGTCTGCCACCTCTTCCAGACACATGTTAACTAACTCCTTAGCCTTAGTTTCACTGTCTATAAAATAGGACTGTTAAAATGCACCTATCTCTCCCCCCAAGGAAGGGGTGGCTTGCACACGAGTGCTTTCCACGTTGTGAAACCTTGTGTGAATGTGAGGGAGTTTCCTTGTTCGTAACCCCCAGAGTGCCTCCAGGTACACCCACAGCTCTCTCATGGCCTTCAAAAGATTGTGACTCTCTGCCCCAGAAGAGGTTATAATTTTGCTTCAGAGACAGACAAACACATCCAAAACAATTAGAGAGGAATGCACAGCTGGGCCCGATTAAGTGCTAAATTGTTAGGTGCTTACAATAGCAGCTCTGAGATCAGAAAAGGAACAATTAGCCAGGGTTGGGGAAGCCTGGGAGGGTTCCTGGAGAGGATAATGTGGAAGCTGCCCAGATTGCTCACCCAGCCTGAAGAGGACATTTGTAGATAGGCCCACTCCTTTGTGACCACAGTGTGACATGGGTCTAGGAAAAGATCTTAGGTCATGGGTTTCACTATACCCTTTTCACTCAGAATATTGCTACTTGTGGGTCCCTGACCCCTCTCAGGACTCAGAGCTTGGGCCACACGGTGAATCAGTGCATTTTACACTGTGCCTCTCGTATTTGGCTCTCCAGTGACCAAAAAAAGTGGAGAAACCTAAGAAGACTCTGCACACACTTCCTGTCCACCAGAATAATTCTGCATACATTTCCTCAACACCATAGTGCCCATTTAGTATTTTTGCCTATACAGACCGCAAACTTCTGAGCAAGCAGATCTGGATGTTTTTGAGCTCTGCAGCCCCCTCAGTGCCCCTGGCTAGCCTATAGCTCCTGCATGCCTACAGAACCAAAGCCCTGGGCCACACTATCCCCTCTGCTCCTGACTGCCTTTGCCTCACCAGCCAGGACCCTGCACCAATCTTCCAGCCCAAAGCTGGCGTCTACCTCCTCAGTTCTGTCAGATCCAGCTCATGTGACTCTGAGGACGAAGACCTCCCTTCCTCAGTGGTGAGCCTCTTAGTCCCGTAGCCTCGTCAGTCCTTGGTGCTCACTCTGCCTTTCACCCGCAGGCCTAGGAAAGGCCTAGCGT